AACTGCTCAAGCCTTTTATACGGCTAACAGGCCAATCGTTAGCCGCCACGTGCGAATAATTTAGCACTAGCCAATCACGGGGAACGAATCTGCATACCGGTGGCGGGAACTCTTTTGCACCGTGCATTCCTCTTGCAACATGAGCAGTGCACTCTGCAAAAGAAGCTGCAGAAAAGGCAGGAAACTGGTCCCTGCACCGGGGTTTCCTCTGCTACAGGAAACTCTCCCGTGCAATGCTCTGCAACTTGACGGGGATAATTCTGGTGCCGAAGCGCACACACACAATCATGCCTTTTGGGTCATGACAATAGGAACAAAGGAGTTACAAAAAACGAATCCAGGTAATGGGATAAGAATCCACAGTCCCTGTTTACACCATACGTAACAACCCAGTTTCAGGATGATTTCTTGTTCTGCAGTTTCCCATTTGAATCAGTTTTTAAAGGCTTACTGGCTAAGAATAGCTACGCTGAAGTCAGTGATGGAGCATCCAGAGGGAGGTTGAAGTGTTCTGCAACAGGCCTGCTTGTTGTTCTGCAGCTGACATCAGATCAGCGTTCATCCTTTCATGTAGGGATTGCCTCTTCTGTCCAATAAGGACAGTGGAGAGACACTGAGAAGGTGACATTTATGACTTTGGTAGAGTTGCAAATGAACAAACCTTGAATGTTTTAATCTGTGTTACTTGGTCCAGTAATAATGCCGTCCGTATTTGTTGGGGCACAGGAGGCATCCGGGTATGTTGTGAGGTCTGGTGCCTTGGGGAGTTAGCCAGCCTGTTGCTTGAGAGATGCTGTTTGAGGTTGGGGGCTTGCTTGTAAGACAGGACAGGTACTTTGAGATGCTCATCCTTTTCCAGGAGGTCATTAATGATGTGTCTGAGGTGTTCAAGACGAGCTGCAGATGACAGCCAGAGGGACTCTGTCCTTGGCCTGGGACTGGTCTATTGCATGTGACTTGATTAGAATTAACAGCACAGCTTTTTATGAAATAAGAGGATAGAGACCAGTCATGTCACTCTCAGTGAAAAATGACAAGTGTCATTGTGTTTCAGTCTTAGAGCACAGTGAGCATTGTGTGACATGTTTTAACTGGAACCTAAGAGTTCACTTCAGCTAGGCCTGGCTCTGCTGTGATATTCTGCTTGACCTTGTATGTCATTCTGCATTTCACTTCTGTCTTCTGAAGGCATATTTAGTACATTTGTATTCATGCTGCTTATTCAGGAATTGTAGCTGAAAACTAGAACTCCTGTTTAGAGGAAGCTGTAGAATTAGATTAGTGGCTCTATGGAGAAGCAATTTGACTTTGCCTGATACTCTTTATGAAAGTCATTAATTTCTTTGTATTTTTGGGATCTATGGGATGGGAAAGAGGATGAGTTATTTTTCTTATTTACATGGCTATAAGAGAGCTGTTTTAGCAGATTATAGGGATCCTGAAGAGTTCATTTAGAAATTGCCTGATGCCTGAATGAAGTGATACAATGACAATGCAAATTTAAAGATAGAGTACTGCTGTGGAAAATGTCAGAATGAGTCCATGAAGGCCATGTCAGTATGCTATTAAAGTTATATTACTATTAGTCCTGGGAGACTCCCTCTCTCTTTTTTTTAAACTATTCTGAATGTAATGAAAAAAGAAATTTCTGATATTTCTGAGGCCTGGTTACTTTACAGATAGCACTGTCTATTTTGTGAGTGCTAATGCCTACAAGATGGACTTCAGCTACATGCCACCTCCAGAAAAGCATTAAATAGTTGTCTTACTGATTTAAGAATTCATTTAATTCCATTAATTAATTAGAAATATGTTACCCCCCTCAAAGGGCTAAGGCTGTTACTGTAAAAACCAAGATAAATGATAAAACCTGATGAAATATTAAAATAAAATAGTGTATAATAAAGCAAACTCTCTGAACAACAATGAAGAATGGCCCCACATTGAAAGCTTGCGCAAAACAAAAGGTCTTACATTGCTTTGGGCTGTGGCAGGGCACAAGGAGGAGGGAGTTCAGAGCTGAAGATCAACTACTGAGAATGACCTCCCACATATTTTTGCCAAATGAACTTGGCGCACAGATGGTGTTGGCAGGAAGTTTCTCTCTGGTTGACCTTAGGGAGAGTAGTCTCATTGAAGTCAAAGGACTTGTATCTGTTGCTCATGGTTCGTTTAACGCAAGACTTTTTTTTTTTTTTTTTTAATGTCATTTGAGGGATACCCTCTTACCCTTACAATCTAAAGGAGTGCAAGTATGCTGTTTAAATGCAGAGCTATGCTACTTGTACTTGTTATGTTAGTGCTTTTATATAAATTATCTCATTTTCAAATTATTGCTGTCATTAAAAACAAAAACAAATTAGAAATGGCTTAAATACTTCAAAAAGTCACATTTTTATAATTTATTTTGATTTGTACACGTGTGACTTTCTGTAGCATTTTTCAAAAGACCTCTGCCAGAAGTGTAAAAACTTACTAAGAAAATGGAAACTGCGTACAGCAAAAATGCATGTGTTTATGCTGCTTATATCTTGGCAACCTTAACTAACTACTGTCAATCTGGGTAAGTGGGAAGGTTTAAATAAAGGCTGTATCCGTTAAATTTCTTATCTCAAGATCAGTCCTGTCCTGCAGTCTGTTAACGACACTCATCCTGATTGCCTACTTGTCCTCTTCTCTCACCGCATCTTCATATTTTTTTTCCCCACTGCTCCCTGTATGTTGGGGGGAGAGGGGAGATTGCAAATTCAAAATTTGAAAAGCCATTATCTTTTCCTTTTAGTTAAAAACAAAATAACAGATCATCCTTAAAAGCTCTTCTGTGATGAGTACAGATCAGTGCTATTTAGAATGTGTTAAGCTGGTGATCATTTTTATCTTATGAGACTTAATATATGAAAATGTTCTGTTCTTACTGTTAATTGTATACTGTGCCACCTACCTCTGCTATAGCCCTTTATCCAGCTGTTCCACTTCTCCACAATGCTGGACAAGGAGTTTTCTGGGGTAAAGATCGTTTTATTTCTTTGTGCAATACTTAGTGTACTACTGGCTGTTAGACACCATTTTTTATACAAATAAATAGTTATACCATTTAAATAATTTGACATAGATATATCTCTTGGATACTTATTTTTCTTATTCCATTATTCAGATTATTCTCTATGCAAATTTTCTGTCAAAACAGTTTTTAAAACATTTAGTTCATGCCGGTAATGCAAATTAACGTTGTGATGGGGCTCTCAGTAGCTTGAAATGGATTGAGTCCATCAGTCATTTTAGGATAAAATTGACCAAACAGATTTATGGGAAGAGTTACAGGACAAATAATTTCTGCAAAATGAGGTGCCTGGGACAACCAATATAAATAAACAGCTCTATCCAGCAATGATAAACAACTGATTAATGACATTCCCTCCTAATGCTAAATCTCCCCAGCCTTTTTCAGGATGTCAGCAAATGCTAATTTTGTTTTTAAACCAGGCAAATCATAATAGACTACTGTTTGTTTGTTGGGGTTTTTTGTTTGTTTTTTTTAAGCTTGCTCAAAAGGAAATCCTAGCATGTGCTTTCTGACCCAAGCAAGGATGGGGCAAGAAAACCCAAAGATTTGCATTTATACTAATGATTCTTGAACATGTCGATAACCTCTCTCCCCTTTCATCTGCTTTGTTGAAGCAAACTGAGCAGTTTGCTTGTATGCAGAAGAGTCAGTGTTAAGTCTGTCTCAGTTGCAGAGGAGCAGCTCTGAAGAAGAGCCTTCCCAAATCTTACAGTGGCCTGTGCTTCGAATGTGCAAGGACCATATCTCAGTGATGTATGGACTGGGAACCATCCAGCAGTTATGAAGCTCTTGCATCCTATTTTGGATCAGCCGGCCAATGTTTGGCATGTATATGCTTTGTGCCCTCTTGTTAGTAGTTGAAAAGGGTGATGAAGGTAGTCATTGCTAGTGGGCTCAGCTTTGAAACTGATTTTTTTTTTT